CGATTATTTTAAATCTTGTTCTTATGTTTGTGATCGTACGTCCAAATGGTCCGGTGATGGGGCTTACTGGGTCCCACAGTGGTTGTGGCTACCAGAAAATTCAAAGAGGGTTTTCCATTATTATGATCGAAGTAGGTGTCGGGAGTTGGGACCACTGTTTAGGTGGGTCCCCCTTTTTAACACAATCATTCCACCCTTTAATGTTGATGTAATTTGGCTATGGGTCAAGATCTCATTTAAAAACGTTAAATACAAAATGACGATGCAATATAGAAATAATATAAATAAAAAATATAAAAGTAATATAATTTAAAATTTTATTAAAAATTAAAAATATATATTTTATAGTTTTATTTTAATATATATAATTTTTATATAAAATATAATAAAATATATTAATTATTAATATTTTATATGAGATAAATATATAAATTATCAAGATTTTAACTAAAATATAATATATTAGGCCTGATTCATGGTTATAGGCCATGGTGAGACTTTGATGGGCCAAGATCTTTGCATACGAGCCAATCTAATCAATGTATTTCGCATTTTTTTATTGTATTTTATATAAAAATTATATAAATTATATTATAACATATATAATTATCAAATAAAATATATTGATATAGACGTTTACATGAATTTTTTTTTTACACATAAAAAAATTATTAAATTTTTTTTAATGACACATAAGATATTTATTAATTTTAAATTATTTATTAAATATTATATTGAAAAAATTATTAAATTATCTAAAAATTTTAAAATTTAAATTCAATTAAAATTTCCTTGTCCCATGTATTATTTCATCCCTCATCACATTCAACAAATCAATTGGATAGACCTCCCATTTAGAAATAAATGTTTTCATTTTAAATAGTCGTCCACCTTCTGTCATGGTTCTGAGTAGTTTTAAAATGTTTTCAATTTCTCAAGCTAAATTTTTTGCTTTTAGTGATTTTCAAAGTAATTATACGTCATGTTCGGTTGTTTTGAAACATTTGGACAAGATATTGCAGTAAATTAATTAATTATTCCAACCATATATATCTATTTGAATATTGCTTTCCTTAATTTTCCACACTACTACTATATTTATGTTTTTATATGATATTTATAAATAAAGCATGCAAATCTTTTGTGTTTTTCTACATTCCAACCAAAAATCTAAAACGAATGGAATGATACCAATTAATAATTGATGAATGATAACAATAAAAATATAGTAATTGAATAAAATAATCATTATCATTTTAAAAAATATGTCTGAAAGTAAATGCAAGTAAGTTATAGACATCATTCTGATAAAAAATTTAGTTTATATATGACATTTGATATGAAAATGCATTTAATTTATAAAAAAAATTAAATGAAATTATTCAATGTGTTTCTGATAAAAAATGCTTTGAATAATCCCTAAAAAATTTTATGAGGAGATTATTAAAAACGTTTTTAGCTAAAAACACCTTAAATAACCTCCATTAAATTTTTCGTAAAGGATTATTTGAGTTATTTTTTTATAAAAAAAACACGTTTAATAATCTTCTACCATTCTTTTAGGATTATTCGAGAGGTTTTTGCTTAGAAAAGCCTTAAATAATTCTCAAAATAAAAAATTTAATGAAGATTATTTAAGGCGTTTTTGACAAAAAAATGCATTCAATAATCTATTTCAATTTTTATGAGTTGATTATTTAAGGTATTTTTGAACAAAAATACTTTGAATAATCCCCAAAAAAATGATCACTCAATTTGAAAATTATTCAAGGATTTTATGAGCAAAAATACATTTAATAATCCCATTGTAATATTTAATAAGATTATTGAAGGCGTTTTTGGTCAAAAACACATTTAATAATCCCTTTTAATTTTTATGAGGTGATTATTCAAAATATTTTTTGCTAAAAACATCTTGAATAATCCCCTCTAATTTTATATTGGGGATTATTCAAGGCTTTTTTTCCCAGAATACGCATTGAATAATCCACTCATAAAATTGAATGGGTTATTTAATATGTTTATGACCAAAAACACATTCAATAATTCCCTCTAATTTTGTATTGAGGATTATTTAAGATATTTTTAGTTTAAAATGTCTTCAATATTCTCTTTTAATTTTTTAGAAAGGATTATTAAAAGCGTTTTGGTCTAGAAAATACATTTAATAATTCCTTTATATATTTTTGGAGGGGATCATTCAAGGTATTTTTGGAACAAAAAATTTAATAAAGATTATTCAAAGCATTTTTGGATAAAAATATCTTGAATAATCCCTAAAAAATAATCACTCAATTTGAGAATTATTCAAAGAGTTTTAATGGGCAAAAACCTCTTAAACAATTCTCTTATAAAATTTAATGGGGTTATTGAAGGCCTTTTTTTGTCAAAAATGACTTTAATAATCCCCTTCAATTTTTATAAGGTGATTATTCAAGTTGTTTTTGGCTAAAAATACCTTGAATAATCTCTTTCAATTTTGTATTGGGGATTATTCAATGTGTTTTTTTTCTCATAATACACCTTGAATAATCCGCTCATAAAATTGAATAGGTTTTTTAAGACGTTTATGGCTAAAAATGCTTTCAATAATCCTCTTCAATTTTATATTAAGAATTATTTAAGGTATTTTTTTACCAAAAATACCTTTAATATTTTTCTCTCATTTTTATTAAAGAGATTGTTAAATGTGTTTTTGACAAAAAACGTTTTTAATAATCTCCTCCAATTTTTTACAAGGGATTATTGAAAGTATTTTTGTCTAAAAAATATTTTCAATAATCCCCTTAAATATTTTTGGAGGGGATTATTCAATGCATTTTTTGTCAAAAATGCTTTGAGTAATCTCCTCTAACTTTTTAGAAGACATTATTGAAGGTATTTTTGGTCAAAAATATTTTTAATATTCCTCTTTCATTTTTATTGAATGGATTATTGAAGGTATTTTTTTGTCAAAAATGTATTAAGTAATCCTTTTTAATTTTTTAGAAAGGATTATTGAAAGTGTTTTTGGCTAAACATACCTTTAATATTTCACTCTCATTTTTATTGAGGGGATTATTTAACGTAGTTTTGGCCAAAAACACCTTCAATAATCTCCTTATAAAATTAGATATTATAATTATTATTTTAAGGAAATTATAGTAATTATTCAGAATTTAATATATGTGGATTCCCTTCAACTAAGGTACTATAATGCAAATCGACATGAGGGATGGATGGTATTATTTGTCATATGCAGTACATAGAAAAAATGTGTTAGAAGTTGATGGAGGTTATGCTTGCAAGGATTGTGTACATCAAACCTAACTTCTAGTTGTAAGGTATCATTAAATTTCATCATAATTATATGTTAATTTAAGTAAAATTTATTGACATATTGTTAAATAAGTAACTTTTAAAACATAATAGTTTGGATATTTACTTTTTTTTTTTTCATTTTTTTCAATTGAAGGTAAGTTTGATTGTTATTAATATTCCACCATAAGTACAAGTTAATTATTAATGTATCAAATGAGGTTGGTGATGCACCATTTGTCCATTTTGATGGAAAAGCTAATCAAATTCTAAAATATACAGTTAAACAATTATTTCAAATGAAAAATGAAGTTATATCATATTTAAAATAATTTTTTAAATTTGTATGAATATCAATGTTATTTAATTAAATTTATCTAAAACTCATTAAGAAGAAGATGGAGATGCCAAAATGAAAAAAATATTGGAAGAGTTGGTAGACCGTTAATATATTTTTAAAGTAGAACTCAATGATTATAATCTTTTTCATGAAAGTTCAAGATTGACTGTTACACATGCTCATGAGATACTTTATGCAAAAGAGAATCGGTATTTACTTAAAAAAATGTAAAAGGTAGGTAGTTTAATACATTTCATTAAAACTTTTTACCCATAATTTTCTTAGATAATTGTTTAAAATTTAATACTATTATTTAAAATTTAAAACTACTTTATTACAGTTTTTACAGGAACATAATTTTGTATCTGATGTCAATCTCAAAACAATTGAAAGGAACACAGATTTGAAAAACCATATAGTTACTGAAGATTACGATATTACTGAAATTCCTACAAAAAAAAATATACACGGGATCACTTATATTATTTAAACATTTAAAATGATTATTTCTCTTAAATAAATAAAACTTATCTTAAAATTACATAAATTTGTAGGTGTACAAAAATGATAAAAGAAGCTGGAGATGATTCAAATTGAATAAAGTTCATTTGAAGTGATAAGAATTTTAGTTTTTATTTTAATATTTTGTTGGCATAATTAATAATATCCTTTACAATATCTTTTGGATGTTTTTTCTTCCTCCAATATTATTTACCATATAGTTTAAAGTTTATTAATTTGTTAATTAAAATTTTTATTTTTATTATGATTTGATATTTTAATTATATTATTTAAATTTTATGTATATTTTGAACATGTTACTAATTTAATAATATTAATTTATATTTTTATTTAAATTTAAATAAAATAAAAATAATTCGTGTATTACAACAGTAGCAAACTAATTTATATTAATATAAAAATTTAAAATATATTTTTTATTAAAATTTTAAATTATATTATGTATTTTTTCACAATCGTGTTCTAGTTTATTAGATCATAAAACCATTTGCTTTGGACCCAAGTGCGCTGGAGGCTTTGTCCAAGTTCGAGACCGTTTCAATATTTACTCTAGTAAATACATTCGATGTGGGACTCACCAAATACCTGCATCACGTGACAACTCTCCAGACCTTTCCTTGACCTCGATGATTCAATGTAGAACTCAACACACACGTGTACTAGGCTACTCTCCCATGGAGGGCAGGAATTCCAACCCAAAACTTATGTACTTGGCTACCCTCCCATGGCGTCCAAGACGTGCACTTTTTTATGCAAAGTGCTGTAATCATTAAACACGTGGAGTAAGAGTCGGTCCTGGCTTAAAGCAAAGAAGAACCTCACCACTCAAAGGCTTAAATCCATCATTATTCCAATAAAATTACATGTTTATAAGTTTCAATCAAAGCTCAAGTACGTAGCATGCAGTTTTTACAACATAGTCATGGTGGGGGCCAGCAAATTTATAGCTTCCAAGGCTTCAACCCGAGGAAGGTTGAAAATTATGACAGGGAGATCTAAATTCTCTATTAACTCTAGTGCAATTGAGCTTTTAGTGGCATATTCATCACTTGTTTTGAGATGATTGAGCTGGAATCATATCAGACACAGACTGATTAGCGACATAAAGATCCTTGATCACATCATCAATATCCTTCATGGCAAATGAAATATCCTCTTGCTTGATCTTTCCCATCTCCTTTAGCTTATATAAAATGAAATCAGCAGCCCTATATAGAAAAATCAATGTAAAAAACAATTAACAACATTGTATTGGTGAAGTGATTTATGGAAGCAAACCAACTTAAATTTGAGCAAGTAAATCTTAGTATCTTACCCATAAACCTTGTCATCCTCAACATGATCAGCTGCCTCCAGGTCTTTCTTGGCAATAATTTTGTTAGAAATAACCCATTTGATCAATTTCCTTGTTTCGATATCGGTATATATCTCTGCAATGTAGAGAAATAGCTGGCCTAAACAGGAGGTACCGGTTGATATCCAAATGATACCAAACATGCGACCAGATTCAGTTGAGAAGCTCTCATCTCCAAAGCCTACGGTTGTCATGGTGGTACAAACACAATAGACAGCATCTGTGAAGTCCATTCCTTCGACGGTAACCAGAATAAAGATCCCAATGACAAAATGCACTGCCATGGCAATCAACGATATCAGACACTTGGTGTAGTCTATTTTAAGGCTTTCAATCTCCTTGAGTGCTTCCATTGGACCGATTTTTTGAGCCATGTGTAGGGCATTAATCAGCACCATTTGTTGCTTCATAACCAAGTAATTTGCAGCTATTTTCACTACTATTCCGAACAGACACATTCCTACGGTTATGAAAACACTGCAAATTAGTTGTGAAAGGAAACTGTGAGGGACAAGGTCTCCATAACCAACTGTGGTCATTGTCACCACACATAAGTAAAGGGAATCAATGAAATCATTTGTTTTTTTCCCTCTGATGTGGTCCCTCAATGCGTAAAAGCTTGTAGTGCCAACACTCAAGTAGATACCAAAGTATATGCCCAGCCTGATGAGATCAGGAAAATCAGTCCGAATCGTTCTTGGAGGGGCACAATTTGCAGCTACCGAAGTAGTTTTGTAACTCAGAAAGCTTTTTTTCTTGGGAGCATTTTCATCATTTGTTAAGGTTTCAGACTCTGCAGCCATTGGCAACTTGGCCTGCTTTGCAGCATTGGAAGCCATTGTAATGATTGAGTTGAAGTGACGCAGCATTAAAGACCACCTGCTATAAGCATTACAACATAGAAATTCATTGTTATAACCATAATTTTAAGAGAGCTAGAAGCTAGAAAATGATCACTAAATGATGATATAGATATTGAAAATATACCGATTTTGGGAAGATAGCAATAATTCAGAAAAAAACTTACAGAAATCTAGTATTAAGCTTAGGTTCTTCACTAACAAGCTTTAGAAGAAGGCCTTGGAAGGTTCAAGGGAGAGAGAAAAGACTTACCAGAGGGAAGCAAGTTTGCAATTCAATATAAAGTGGTTATAAGTAGGGGGAACTTGTGTTCCAAACACATTGGAAAGTTCCTGGAAGATCCAATCTGATGTCGTTTTCTATTGTAAGGATATAAATTTGCACCCTGGAGAAAAAGGGGCTTTCTTCATTTTTTTGCTTATGTCCTAGATTATGGGAAATTTCCTATACACATCCAAAATACGAAACTATGTTTTATGACTCAATCCATTTCATTGAAGTGATTGATGGCTTCTATGGAGTAAATGTTGTACACCTGATGAGTCTATCCCAAGCCATAAATATGCTGATGAGAGTAGGTTTCAGAGTTCTTTGTAGTTGTTTCCTGGATCCAATGCAGCTTTTACCCTGTAAATTTCAAAAAAATTTTGACCAGAAATACAGAAACAAACTTGATTCTTCATCACAATTGCTTGAGTTGTGTTTTTGCAGTTGAATCCAAAAATTGAACAATGGCATGTGATCCACATTTGAGCATGAAATGGCTTATCATCTAAGTTTGGAACTTGTATATATTGCTCTTTCGTATACATAACAAGCTTTTCATTTGCACAAGAAGCAACCTTGGTCATTGGTAGTCTGTTACATGTTATTGCAATGATCATTCACTTTCTGTATCATTCATTAATCAAGTTTCTTTCATTAAGGGAGGAAGAAAAAGGGAAAGATATTTCTTCTTTAAACGTGAAGGTCAAGTTTCATTATTACCAGGGTAAAAGAAGTTCAATTCAACTTGTTGAAGAACCAATTAGTCAATCAATAACTGCAAATAGTTATCTATCATAAATGATTAAAAGTTCCAATTACAGGTTTAGAGAATAGCTGTAAGATTATTCACCTTTTTCCACCAATAGATGCTGTCTGATACAAACTTTCATATGCATGTTTGGTTTCTATGACCTCTTAATTTCAACTGATTGAGCTAGAATTATATCGGAAGCTGACAAGTTTCCGGACTGGTCAAGATCTAGTTTTTCAAATTCCTCCATGTTAAGTGATATGTCATCTTGGCAAATCTTCCCTATCTCTTTAAGTTTGAATAGAACAAATTCAGCAGCTAACACCTTGAACTTTACATGGTTAAAGCCTTGCATGTTAATTAACATGTAGAACCTCAAGTTGACCAACTTTTTGATGCCTATGTAAGGCTTTAACCAGCAATATTTCTTGCTTCTTTGCCAAGTAGTCTGCAGCTTTGGTTAGTACAAGTCCAATTAGAGCCATTCCTGGAAGACAAAAGCACTGGCTAGTAGTTTTGCGAGGTCGCTGTTATGAATGAGGTCTCCATATCCAACAGTTGTCATAGTAACAACACAGAAATAAACAGCATCAAGATTTTCATTCATCTTATCCCCTTTAATTTGGTTCCTGATTATATAGAAGCAAATGGTGCCCAAACCTGGCTACCTTCTTAATACTTGGGTTAAGTCTCCCAAAAATGGACTCAGAACGTGGAAGTGCATCATCTCTATTAATATCAATAGGACCAGACTCTGCTAAAGGAGCACCTCAAACACATCGAAGCCTTCTCTTCTTTGGCGCAATCCCATTACTCTTTTGATTTGTCGAAGTTACTAATCCTGATAGCAAAGGCTGGTCTACACCATTACAGGCCATTAGGAAGATTCAGCAGACATAAATCACTACTAGGAGCCCTGCAATAATCATATAGATAGATTTATGGTTGAGTTGGTGTAAACTTCTGTACCATAAATCATGAGATTTTAAAATCAAGTCAATAGTCCCTTGTTTGTAAACAAACTGGAATAGAAAACATGCTTATCAGGCCATGAAACCAACCCAGCAGCATGGAACTCTGATTTCCTGATTATCATTTTTTTTTTAATTTTAACTCCATCTACTGACTCAGACTCCAATTTGTGAAATTTCTTTCAATTACAAATAACATATTGGATTTAAAAAAGGCATCTGCAGTAAGATTCTTAATTTTTCACATGATGTATGCAAAGCCAAGATCTGTAAGATCTTCATAAGAAACTTTAAGCTCATATTTCAGGCATGAACTTTAAATAATAGTAAAAAATATCAAGGACACTTTACTCAGGGTCAAGTAACAAAACTGCCATCAGGCTGATAGTTAAGCAAAGTAACTGGTTTAAAACAGAACCGTGCCCAAACAACTGGGTTGCCATTAAAAGTTTATGATAAGCTCAGAATCATAGACAATGAAAATAGTAAGACAAAGATGCAGCAGGAAGGTTCTCGAAAGACAGAATGAGATATCCTTTTGTGCTTTTAGCTAAAAACTTAGCATTGATTGAAGGGATAGATATCCTTTAGTAGTCCGGGATATTCGTATATTTTTGTCATATAAAATTTTGAAATTTATATATTTATCTTTTATTTTATATGAAAATTTTTGCTAACATGAAAATATTAAATATATTTTTTTGATTTTGTTAAATTTATATATAATAATTATTAAAATTTTAAATTATATCATTTTCATCTTTTTTTTATATTATATTCATATTGTGTTATCAGGTTATATTTTAAATTATCTAATCTATTCTTTTTAGTATTTTTTTTCTTTTTTTTTTTTTAATTTTCCTCTCCATAAAATTTTTTCATTTAAAGATGATTTCTATTTAGGATAATGTACCAAATATATATATTTTTTTCTTAAAAAGTTTCCGTTTGATTAATACTTTTACTATTTATTTTTTACTTCTTTCTTTCAATTATTTTTTTTTACAACGATAAAAATAAATAGTAAAAATATAAAAAAAAGAAACAAATATTTCTGGCCAAAAAAAAAAAAAAACAAATATACGAATATTTAGTTGAAAATCAAATCTATTAATAAGCGCTGAAGCCCAATTAGTTACAAACTGACCTAGGCGAAGGCCCAAAATTTTATAAATGAGCCCAGATTATGACCCAGATGAAGCCCAAAACAGAATTAACTTCGGCTCGATCCGAGTACAAAACGGAATTTACTATTATAAAAACTCCGATTTTTGAAATAGCAGAAAAATAAAAAAAAAATGGAGGGAAATCGCTCGAGCACTCCTCGAGCGATCTGCTAAGAAAAATCAAAGGTTTTCGTAGTGAAATCTACAATGAAGTGTCCAATTTTGAAAATGTATTGATTCTTTTTTTGTTAAATTTCTCTGAAGATTAAAGTTTTCTTTCTTTGCAGAGTTTACGATTTGGATCTTGGAGAATTTGAGCAAAGGACAATCTCCGATGATTTTCATCCAACGGTTCAGAATCCACTGCACCAATCTTGATTCAAATTGGTTCAAAATAAGTTTTACGCCTTTTCTCTCCTTAAATTTATGTTTTTTTTTTTCTCTTCTCTTTGTATGCGATTTTAATCTGAGATTTAATGAGAAATATTTTTGAATTTATTTAATATATTTTTTAAAATTTTGAATTTATGCTTTTTAGAGGTGTTAACAAACAGAGCATCCCACGAACTGGTGGTGATGATTTTTGTTCATTTACGTTTATTTATTAAGTTTAACAAACTTGAAGAGCATTTTTATGTTAGTTTATTAAATAAATTGAATATAATTTATTTGATTCATTTATATTCATGAATAAATTAATTTAAAATTTATTTAAAACTTATTTGTTTATTGATTATTTGTTATTCGTTTATAATAATATTAATAAAATTATATTTTTATCCTTTACTCTAATTTTATTTTAGAGTTTATTTTTATTTGTTTACATTCGTTTTTGTTCGTTCAGGATTTAATTATTTAAATTTGTTTGATTATGATTTATTTATTATTTATAAATATAATCATTTATATATATTTATGAAAATGTTAGTTTAATATTCAAGAACGAGCTCTTTAATTGAATTGAATTGAATACAAACCAAATGTGAATATTTTATCACTTAAATGAATTAAACTTGAATAAAACAATTTTTTTATCGAATAAGAACCAAGCCTGAATACGTCTAAAAATAAATGAACAAACTAAGGTTCATTCATTTACAGCCCTAATCCTTTTGAAAACTAAAGAATGTTGAATGCATTATGATTTATGAGTATTGGGTTGAATGCAGATGTTACAGTTCTAATAAGCCCAAAGGACATGAAATTCTTACATTTCAAATGGAAAGCCATGTCCATAGAATTGGTAATTAAGCTAAAATTACTACCATTCCATTAGGATTGCATTCTTTTTTGTGGATGTGATAATCCTGTTAGTGTTTTGAATTCCCAAGTGGGAAAATTTTTACTGGTTGGTTGAATGAATCTCTTTCAGATTTGTTGTTGAGGGTGTTACTGATAGTGCAGCAGCTTCTTCAAGAAAACAAACATGGGTCAAAGAGAGATATATATTACATGCATCCGTCAGTGTTTTCGGGTCCATTCTAGTTATTTTGTTGAAACAGTTGCTTGCTAGAAGCAGAGGACAGTGACTTGTTTACTCAATGTTCTTACTGTTCTACTGTGCATGTAGTACTGATGAAGATCAAACTTCTGTTTTAGATAAACTTTTCTAATTTAAAGATTTCATACTCTTTTTTGGGGTTGGTTCATGTATTGTGATGCAGATCAGTCGGTTGTAGATAGAGCAATTAATGATATATGCATCCTTCTGCAATGCAGTTGACACAATCTAAATGTGGTTGGTATTTGGTAACTTATACTGTTAATAAGGACTGTGGTTTGGGTAAAACATGTGGTAGAAGTTTGAATAATTCTAATCCAAGGCATCACATTCCAGAGTTGACTTTCTTCGCTTTGTTGTTGTTCATAAAAAAAAAAAATTAAAAATTAGCTCTGGGACTGTCACATATGAGCTAGAAGTCGAGTGTCATCAGATTTAATCTTCCTTTGATTACTACATGCAGATCTTTTTAGCGTTGCCCAATACATACTAGGTGTGGAGAAAGAATCAGGTAAATTCTTTTTTGAAATAATCACAGTTTACCTGAAATGAAGGTCAAAATGTTATACACCAAATCTTCATTGTTGAATGGTTGGC